CGCTTGCAGGGGCTGTTGCTGTTACTGCTGGCACACAGGGTTGCAACGGGAGTCCCTGCTCTGGCTGTTCTACAGCATCCTTTCCCTAGACGATAAATTTTGCAGGGGCTGCATTTCTGCTACTTCATTTTGTGGCTTGGCGTTCGGAGCACAGGGTGCCACGATGCCTCATTTTCACCTTAAAGTGCCAATTTTGACAAATCCCCTATTGAAAACAGAATGACCCACTACTTCCAGGGCACTAGGGACAATGCCAGTCTTGGGTGATGCTCTGCGCCCCAGCAGCAGCTGTGAGGAGCAGGACAGGCCCATCGGTGCTGCCTTTCCCTATGGCTGGACCAGGTTTCAATTTGGAAAACCTCCCTCCTGGGTGCAAAGCCTGATAAAGGGGTCTGTTAGCTGGGGCAACAGCAACACCTAATTAAGGCTGCAACAGAGAAGCATTAAGCTTTCATTGCCAAGAAAGATCTTAAAAGGTTGGCAGGAAATGAAAGATGGAAATTCAGATGGATGAATTCTTGTCAGGGTTGAGTATTACTGAGGGGTGAAAAGCAGAGCCATGTGGCAAAAGCAGCCTCTAAAAAAAAAAAAATCAGGATACATTTTGGAGGCTTTTGTTAAAAAAATGTATTCAAGGTCCTGGGCATTAATTTTAATATTCTAAGATGTTGAACTCAGTGGGAATTTCCCATGTCTCTCCCATAGTCTCTCGAGCCAGCCCCCAGGGAACAGGGTGCTGCTGGCAAACTCCTCCACCCTTTCAAATCTCAGTTCTCTATCAGTTTCTTTAACATTCAACAGCCCACGCACCACGACTGCTTCAGTGGGTACTTCTTGCTAACACCCTTTTGACCTTGACGCTGACCATGACACCACCCCAGGGAGCCCATCCCGCAGCCGTCCCCCCAGCTCCCGTGACTGGTGGTTACCTGCCTTCCAGGTGACCCTGCGGTGGCACAGAGGCTGTCCAGCTTTGGCTGAGCAGACATACCCAGCACGGCTTTACAGACAGAGATATATATCATATAGATACATATGACAGAGAGAGATAGAGAGATAGGTAGGAAGAGATAGATAGACGGATAGAGAGGTAGAGAGGTAGAGATAGAGATAGAGATAGAGATAGAGATAGAGATAGAGATAGAGACAGACAGAGACAGAAAGACATAGACATAATCATAGACATAAATGTAGACATAGACATAGACATACACAGACATAGACATATCCAATAGGTGTTCCTTGCCTTTTCTGCAAATGCTCTTGCAAACAAATTCAGTGTCCAAATTCAAACACCATATTTGACCCCTTATCTGCAGGCACAAGCTCCTCACATTCTCAGATAAAACAGTTTCTCTTGATCTTTAAAATGTTTGTTTGTAGCTTACATGTTTCCAGTTGCTATCAGCAGCTTGTTGTATTCCATCTTAAATCCATCCTTGAACACGGCTATCTTGTTCTTGATATCCACAGCCGCAACCTGAAATCATTCCTAAATAATGTTAAGGGATGAAATCCCAGGCGTTCACTAAGCTCCCAGCCCATCCAACTTGTCTGGCAGGCTTCAGTCCCCTGTGCTCCTGCCCACAGCTTAGCGAACCCAGACCTTAAATATTCCTAGCTGCCTTTTCACAAATCCTTGAAGATCTCCCAGTATAAATAAAATAATGGGGAAAAATTAAACCATCACTGTCTGCACAGCTGGCAGGCTGATTATCCTGATCAGAGACCAGTTCGTCACCCCAGATCCATGTGAGGATGCTCGCAAACGGCAGGTAAGAAATGATGGTCACCACGGAGTTTGCGCAGGGCAGGAATTGCATTAACTGTGGTTTTGAACAAGCACAGGCAACCTGCGCTCTGGGGCGTGAAACAGGGGGGCTGGGGGAGACCCAATGTTTCTGCAGCAGCATCCAGTGAGCCAAGGACAGAGACAGCTGCCACACTTCCTAAACACAGCCTTTGCGTACCAGCACTTGCAGAAGACAGCCTGCAGGTAAACATAGGACTCTACTTACCTGCATTTCGGTAAGGACTTCGATGCCGTAGGTGCGGAAGAACTCCTTGGGGCGCAGGGCGATCTGCTCCGGGTGGGAATCCATCGACTGCAAAAAAAAAAAAAAAAAAATTTCTGTCAACCACCGTGGGTTGAACAGGCAAGTGGAGAAATGCCTGTTACCAGCACAAGTCAGTGGTAGTCTGAAGTCAGTCCTTATGGCATGTTCAGTGCTCGGTGCTCTGGAGATGGTAACGGGGACGTTGCAGCACACCAGGGAGCGGGTCATGGTCCGAAGGGGACAAACAGGCACAGTCAGGCAGGACCTCAGGACAGACTGAGAACAGGCGTTCAGCAAGGCAGAGGAAGGACAATGCTGCGGTTTCAAGAGGCAAGTCTGCTGCTTACAGCTTGACATGCTCTTCCTCTGATGACTCTTTCCAGGGTTAGTCCCACTCACAACAGGATTAAGAAAAATCCCCTTTTTTTTCTAGCCTGTTCCCAAAAATTCTGCCTTCTCTTCCACAGGCTTTGTGTACCTTCCAAAAGCAACTACAGCTGGAGGTGTCTACTGGAGAGGTTAACAAACCATGCATAACATCCCTGGCGTGTGAGATGTTCTTACCATTCAATGGCGAGCGGAAAAGGCAGTCTCGCACGGCAGGGATAAGTGTTTCAGAGAGCTGCCTGGCTGGGACAGGGACTGCGAGCTTCTCCAAGCTCCCCAGCACAACCTCTGTGACTCTTGGATGCAGGTTTCACCCAGCTGCTCCTCACCCCAAGCAGGTCTTGTCCAAGCACCGAAATGGCTTGAATGCTCTCAAAAAGCCACGTGCATATTTGCCTTCCTTTGAAAAATCACTTTGCCTTGGGGCTGGAAGCAGAGTTAGATGCTGTGATTGCAGAGCACCAGCCCCCATAGATAAACATCCCTTGCATAGAGGGGAATACATACACCGCCTGTTCTTATGTTACCTCCAAGCTTCAAGAGAAAATGCTGCGGACCAACCTGCATTGCTGTCTGATATCAAGTAAGGCTCAGGAATCAGTAATAAAAAATGTGATTAGAAGATCATCCTGTGTCTACAAATTGGAATGCAAAATGGGGTGCGTGCCAGAAAAAGTGATCTTTGCACTGCAATCAAGTTACCAAGTTGTAATGATGACCCATAATCATAATGATTATGGCATGGAGCATTACTGGGCAGTGAGAACCATGCACTAATAAAAAAGCTGGTAGACAATACAGTTTTTTCACACGCCTTGTTTCATTGCCCTAAAGATTTTGGTCTGGAAGTATAATAAGAAGATCCATCCAGGTAAGAGCCGACCAAGACAGCTATTGCTAGACCTATGAAGAATGGCCTTGTTTCTGTGCTGGAGTACTTAGTTCAGAGTTTGAACGACTCCTCTTTCGTGTTTCGTATTTCAGTCACCAACAGAAAAGAAAATTAAAGGGAAAACAGAGACAGGACAAATAAGGAGGAAGAAACTGCTGCAATGAGTAACAGTGGGGAAAGGTCACAGGGCAAATTTTAAAACTGGGGAGGAATGTGACATACCCAACGCGATACAAACCTTACTGAGCTTTGGTCTGTCGTAGGGCAAGTGCCTGTCCATCGTGCACATCACAATCCTGTCCGAGAAACCCTCCTGGCGCAAGGTCTCTGCACAGACCAGTCCAGCTGCCCCTGAGGGAGAAGGAAGACCGGCGGCAGCCGGGGCCATTGGGCGTTTGAAGGTCTGAACCCTTTGCTCCTAAACCGCACCTGGGCTGACTCCAAAACCACCATCTCTGCTAGCCCTGCCCTCACTTCACAGCCCTCCCCCAGTCATGCAGCTCGCGCGGGAAGCCGGTCAGGGTGGGTGCACCAGGCAGGAGGAGGGACCTTCTGCCTGTGGAGCACGGCATCAGTCCTCTGCGGGACTCGTCTGTCCCTAAACTCACGCAAAGCCCCAGCGAGCACAGCTGAGGAGCGCGGCTGGCACCTACACACCTCTCACAAGTGGAGGGGCACAGGTGGCCGCTCACACCCTGGTGCTACCCTGCTCGGGGAAGGGTCTTGCCGCTTCCCCTCCGCGCATCCGGCTCCTGCTGAGTTTACAGCCAAACACGGGGGGAAGGGAGTCCTCCCTTCTTCTTGGCTGCGTGCTTCACTGTAGAGGATTTTGCATGCCATTTCTTTGAGGGTTTTTTTGTTTGCTTGGTTTTAAACACAGAAAAAAGGCTAACTGAAACAAAAAGCTGCCTTGGGGCGTGCTGTCCTGCTGCAGGCAGGCAGCCTGATGGCCAAGCCTCTCAACCTGACCTGAGAGCTCAAGCAAGAAGTCCTGACTCTCTTCTCAACCAAGGAAGCGTTGCCCAATGATGAGTGTTGTAAGGGCCACAGTTTCTGTAATACCACTGAAAGAAGATGGACCTGGACAGTATCATGGTTTGGTCTGTCCACAAAACGCTCCTGTTGATGGAGGCAGGGGACACCGAAAGAAGTGACGGGTGGGTGGGCATCCCGTGCACACTGCCTGGAGCATGCCGAGCCAGGACTGATGCTGCACTGATGCCAGGATGACCCTCACATGAGCAAGGGGCCGCGGTCGCTTGCCCTCGGCATGGCTGGGTCATGGTCCTCGATGCAGGGCTGGATGGGTAGTCTCTTCCCAACACCTCTTCCTCACAACCCCAGCTTTGAAATCTCCTTTCCCATCCACCAGAACACACCTCGGTCTTTAACAGACCTGTAAATTTAGCTGGTCAAGCCTGAGACAGTTCCTCGAGCACCGGCTAGCGCTGCCTGTGCAGGGACCTTGCTGGGGACGTTGATGAGCGCCCAGCCCAGCGCACACCAGGACGGCCCAGCTGACCGCAGGGAACAGCGGTCGCACACCCTGGCTTTCAGTCAACAAACCGCAGGGGCACAGGGAAGGAAAAATGTCACCCAGCAGCAAGGGAAAAGCCAGCCAGGCTGGTTTTTCCCCCTGCTCAGGCTGCAAGCTGCAACTTAGATGGCAGGAGCGGACCACAGCATGCTCCCCATTTCCACAGCTTGGACCTCGTGGCCTGGGGGCTGTAATCAAGTAAGAACAACCCATGTGCCAGAAGGAGCCGTTCCCTCCCAGCCCCAGGTCCAACACCGGACAGCTTGTGTCCTCCCCCCACCCTCCATTTCACCATGACATGGGGCAGCCTAGTGTCCAACCCCTCCCAGAAACAGGCAAAATCAGTAGATGGGATTCACTCCATCAGGCTTTCCACAAAAATTGCAACACAAATGGAGCTGGGACAAGAGGTAAGGTAAGGTAAGGTAAGGTGAGGTAAGGTAAGGTAAGGTAAGATAAGATAGCTTGGCAGTTTTGCTATTTCATGCAGGGATTTGATATTTCCTGGGAAGATGGAGGAATTTATCTTCAGAGAAGCACCTTGAGGTGACAGCTTTGGAGCTGCAATGGGATGAGACAGAGATGTGCAGGTGCCAAGATGAAAAGGTGTATCCACGTCACAGGAACACCTGAGAGGACTTTACACTTCTCAGTTGTGGAAGTCAGGGGGTGACTGACATACCTGGGGAGGGTGCAGAGGGTTCACAGCACCCACTGCAAAGGGCTGTGGCAAGGAACTACAAAGCTCCACAGACCAGAGGCACCTTTGGACCATTAGTGTGTGGGACAAAAAGGCTCAGGAAGACTCTCTGGTCTGACCCTCTGCACAGGGAGGGACATGGGAGGGGTGACAGAAGGCGCGTGGCACACTGCCCGGGAGGGGGGACACACGGCGGTCCCAGCACATGCTGCACGATACCTGCACCGACGATCAGCACGTTGGTACTGCTCAGGTTGTAGTTGCTCAAGGAGATGCACTTTGCCATCATCTTTGTCCTCCTCTGTGTCTGAAGAGCCTATGCCACCACCACCAAGACAAAAAGTCATTATGTTTCCTCAGCTTTAACCAGGGTAGCCAGGCAGGAACGGGGACAACTACACTATTGTCATAAAACAGCTTGGACAGAGAGGGAACAACTGCACCCTTGTACCCAACCACGACTCCAAACCCATGCTCACCCAAACACCTTTCCACAATCCTGTGCACTACCCCCTTAAAAGGTACAAAAGAAAAATAAATCCATCGTCTTCTGCAAATTAATCCAGGTACACAGAGCTGGGGAAAAAAATAGAAAAAGCAGCCCAGGTATGTCATTGTGCAATTCTGCAACCAGCAGGTGAGATGGAAATGAAGAAGTCCTGTCAGGAACTTTATCCTGCACCTGAGCAGAGCTTGTATACCTCTGATCTCCAAAGAAGCTGATGGACTTGTCCAACCTAACAGAGCACACCCAAGGACCTACGCCACTGTCGCCCTGCTGCATGGATCCCCCATTGCCAGCCATCAGAGGCCAAAATCCGTTTCTGGTAGAGGCAACAGGCTCAACCCTCCTCCTCACATCCCACCCGAATCAGCTGGAGTAGAAGTGCTGCATTCAGGTGACCTCTCTGGATCCAACCCGCACACTGTAAGGGTCCGGCTGGTTCTGAGCTGCCGGATTCACGCTTGCGTGCCAATGTGCATCAGAGGAAGGCTTTTCATGGAAAGAAAGATGGCAGTGGCCTGAATGGCCTTCATGCTGCATCCTGTCTGGGGGGATAAGAGTCCTCCCTGCTCATACCCAGGTTCCTCTCCAGCAAAAGGAGCTGATGTCTGGGCTCAAGGGGGGGCACAGGTGACCTCTGTCATCGCTCTGCCACATTCAGACCCACCAGACAAGGCCAAAAGGCTGGTGGAATAGGTCTGTTTCCATGGGCCAACTAAATTAAAAGATGCTATGAGCTTAAGGAAACATAGGGCACACACCCAGTAAGACCTCCTGAACCCATGGACACCCCAGCTCAGGTGTCTGGCAGCAGGAGGGAGCCTGGGGGGGCACGAGCAGGACGGGACGGGGACACACCACCTCTGCCCTGCTCCACTCATGCCTCCGTACAAACTTGGGGCTGTTGCATGAGACAGGATGGGGCGAGGTGGACCTTTGGTTTACCCATGGTGGACGCACACGCATCCTTCTGTTCAGGCACTGCGTCCCCTGCCAGAGAGCCCACAGACAAGCATTTCCCCACCCCACGCACACAGAGCAAAAAAGCAAAGGCATGAGCCTCAATTTTGGGAAGCCAGTGGTCCCTCACCTGCTTGCTCGCTCGGATGTACACCTTCTCCTTCTCGATCTTCACCTGAGGGTGACAGAACAGCAGCAGTTTGCAGGACACTGAGCGCCTCCGGTGTGAAGAGAGTGATTACTCCTCTGTGCAACAATTAACGAACAGAGCAGCTATCTCACCAGGTCTCCTGCGAGAGTGGCTCAGGCCATGGCAGAGCAGCTCGAGGCCGTGGGATGTTTCCTGCCTCGTACCAACTACGCACCAGTGGTCAGTGTAAGACCCGATGTCTATCTCAGGTCTTTCTGTCCCACCCCACTCCTGCTCAAGAGCCCTCCCAGACTGTGCACCCCCACCCTCAGGTCCCTGGGAGGTGTCTGATGCTTGCGGGGGGATGCAAGGGGAGCTGCAGGGAAGAGGGAGAGCTGGGTGAGGTGCTGCTCTCCATGGGCCACTTCCACGTGCTTGGGAAATGTTTGCTCCACACCTTCAACGAGCACACTTATCCTGATGCAAACAGGCATTTTGTGGATGACACCGAGCTGTGTGGGGCAGTTGGTACTCTGGAGGGAAGAGATGCCATCCAGAGGGCCATGGACAGGCTGGAGAGGTGGGTCCATGTGAACATCATGAGGTTCAACAAGGCCAAGTGCAAGGTCCTGCACATGGAACGAGGCACTGACCAGTATGAATACAGGTTGGGGCATAAAAGGATTGAGAGCAGCCCAGCAGAGAAAGACCGGGGGTACTGGTGGGTGAAAAATTGGAAATGAGCCGGCAATGTGCGCTGGCAGCCCAGAAAGCCAACCGTGTCCTGGGCTGCATCCCCAGCAGCGTGACCAGCAGGTCGAGGGAGGGGATTCTGCACCTCTGCTCCGCTCTGGAGAGCAC